GCAAAACTGATAAATAAAAAAAGCAAAATCGATAAAAAAAAAAAGCAAAAAAAAGCAAAACCAATAAAAAAAAAAAAACAAAAAAAAACAAAACCAAAAAAAAAAAAAAAAAAAAGAAGAAAAAAAAAAAAAAAAAAAAAAAAAAAAAAAAAGCAATATTACAACCAATATATAAAGTAACAAAAATATTATTTTCTTCTAAAAACTCTATATAAGATAAATTATAACTTGTATTTGCTAAAATATTTAAAGTTTTGAATTATTATTTATGATTTAATAGTATTGTATAACAAATAATTGTTAAAATTTTTTATAAAAAATTAAAATCTTATTGGAATAACAAATTAAACAATAATTTTATTATTTTAGCAATTCTTAATTCATATTATAAAATTTTTATATTTAAGTTATTAAAGATAATAATAGTATAGAAGCTATTTTACAAATTTATAATTTAATGACATTATATTTTTTATAATAATAATAACAATTCTACTTATAATTTGATAACTATATCACAAAATTATTTTTTAAAAATCTTATATAATAAATTTGAATTCAATATAGATAATACAAAACAACAAGATGATAAATTAGATAAATATTTAATAATTGAATTGAATTTGAATTTGAATTTGTTATAATGGTAAAAAAATAATAATAAATTTTTTTCTATTCTATCTCATATAGCCTGTAACTATCTTGCTATTCAAGCTACAAGTATACTTTCTAAGCAATCATTTTCTCAATTTAAATTTGCTATTAATTTATTATATAATCAGTTATTACCTGAAATAGCAAGAGCAAGTTTATGTTTAAGAAATTGGATAATTAACAAATTAGGTATAAATGATAATATATAATAGTAATATAGAAAATGATGCTGAAAGTATATTAAAGATAATTAAATTTATTTTTTAATTATAATTGTAATAATTCATTATTATTATTTTTTTTTTTTTTAATACCAAAACAGCTATTAATATCTTTATTACTTATAAGTGATTGCTGTGTGACAATATTACAAATCTAATAACTAATATACATCTCTCTTTGCTAAGAAGAGTCTAATGTAAAATACAACAAAAGTGGTCCAAACTATTCCAGTATTGTTCTATAAACTCACCTAAGTACTAGTAAAAGGTAATATTAAAACCTAGACTTAATATTTAGACAGGTGCCTAGTGTGAACTAGAAAGGATTAGAAGTATCTAAATACATGAAGGCACTATAGCCAAGTATACAGATTGGTCTTCAAGTCATAAATGGGATTTGACACGCTTGCTTTTCAAAGTTGGCTTGATATATGGCAAGTAAAGAAGAGAAGAAGAGAGTTGATTTTTTTTTTATGCATAAAGGTGCTGCAGCCACTTTTCACAGATTGACCTCCAAGTCATATAAAGAGTTTGGCATATTCATTTTTCAAGTATGGCAGAAGTGTCCAATGGATAGAGTTGAATTGGAATTTCTTAAAGACATTGTTATCTAACTATACACATGGACCTATATTGTCGAAGGGTGATCGAGGAATGTCTGTTGTCAACACCAGCTCTGTTTGCGAGGTAACTAGAATTCCTGGTCGTCACATGTCATCTTATTAGGTATCCCAGATATCAGCATGTCACTTGTAGAATTCTACACTGGCATTGGCTGCCATATGACTGGATATAATGGGTATAACTCCCTGGGAGTTCAGATGACAATAGTTGTACAGTGGCTTCTTAGATATATCTAATCTAATCATCAACAAGTAAATAATGCCAGATATGATAATGATGACCATGCTGATCTTTTGGAGAAGGTAACCTATCTGTCCTTTTTTTAAAAAATCATGGAAGCAAGAAATTTCATAAGGTCCACAATATAAAAGAAATTACTACTTCTTAATATGGTTCTTGAGAAAAGGAAGTCAACTGGCCAGAGGGTGATGAGATGGAGAGTGGTAATTTTAAAAGAGAAAGAGGCCTAGAGAGAAAAAACTTCAGAGGGAAGGAAAAAACTTAACTTTGGCAGGAAAAGGAGAAAAGAGAAGAGAAAGAGGATATATGTAAAAAAAAAGTTTATAAAAGAGAAGAGAGAAAAGAAGGAAAAGAAAAGAAGTGTGTAGTAGGAAGAAAAAATAATATTAGGAAGAAGGAAAAGCAAAAAAAGAAAACAACTTAAAAATTTCCTAAAAAGAAAATTTTCAAGTATAGGAAGGGGAATGGGAAAGAGTTTTTAGTTTTGATGTGTAATAATTCATTATTAGTTTAATAAAATTTCCTAAATTCATATAAATTAAGTTCGTATACCAGTTTACCAATTAAAAAAAAATAAAAAATAAAACACTTTGTCAAGAATTATATTTAAACTCTAATTTGATTTTTTAAAAAATAACTTAACGAAAATATCTTATCAAAATTCTATTTAAACTTTTAACTTCCAAATATATAGTTAAATATTTATTATATATTACAATCTATATCTGTATATAGTAAAACACATGTTTATTTTTTTACCAATTATCTTACCAGAAAAGTCTATTTAAAAAATAAAGAATTCTCTGAAATTAGCTACCTACGAATAAAGAAAACTATTCAAAAGAATAACAATAAAAAACAATAAAACTTATCAAACTGATACTTAAATTTCATAAAATCGTTATATTTATAAATCATACATTTCCAGTATTCACTAATTAGAAAAAAAAAAGCTACAAAAAAAATATTAGCCCACCATTTATCTAAAGCTTGCCAATCGGGATTTTTATTTATGGTGATTGGTTACACTATAATCATGTGCTAATTAAAATCACGGTTCTGAATGTAGGTCAGAACTGACGGTTCGGTTCGATTCTTGCTTAGAACTGCCCTAGAACCGAACTGTTAACATCACTAGATATACATCTTTCCCCTGATCTGCAGATCGCGTAACGTATTAGCGATCATCTTTAACAAAGATTCAAAATTTTGATTTACAACCGTACATAGGCAAAATGGTAATTTTTTTGAGGACATATTCCGTTAGCTTTCTTATGAAATAAATAAATTTATCACTACTAGGATGGTCAATTTAATCATGCTCATTTGAGAAACACCAAACATCTGGATTTTATTGATAAGTGGGGAAGTGATAAATTACCCGAAGATGGTAAATATCTTTAATAAAGTATAGTTCTCTTTTTAATATTAATCTTATTTGTGTTCTCATCGACAGAGATTGCGGTACCCCTTAAGTATCAACCACCAACATTTGAAGAGAGCGAAGATTGTGAGTGTAGTAATCAAAACTTAACATACAGTCGTACTTCTCTATAAGAACATAAACTAAAGAACCGATGAACCATTCTTAAATTGAAGATAATTTTTTCGTAAGATCATGTTCATATGGAATGGTACGACTGTATAGACCTGTTCACTCTTCAGCTTTGTGTATAACCTTATCGACAAATGCCATCCTGATAATTAGTTGAACTAATACCAGAACAGTTAAAGCAAGGAACCGATAAATGGAAGGATCTTGCCTTGGACTTTCTGAGTGAAGAACCCCGACAACAACGACAGCAATCCCATCATCAACAATCGCAACAGATCCAATGAACATAGTGAGTCTGTCAAATTTATTGATGCAAGGTTCAACCATTTTATATTGTCGTATCAAGATTTCGCCTTGTGTCATTTTCTTTGTGTAGTATGTTTCTGTAAAGTTGTCACGTTATAAACGCTCTTTACTAGATATCATTAATAAATTGCTGAAGTAGCATATCCCGAGACTTACGTATTAATATAAATTTTATTAATGATCATAATATTGCACTAAGACTATAATAACTTATAGATTATCATTTAATTATTTTTATGCAAGTTATTGTTATACAATAAGCTTCTTTAGAGATTAACCCTAATTTTTTATTGAAATTATTATTATAAACATCATTATATACTTTAATTTTAAATAAAAAAGTGGAATAAAAAAATTTATAATTTAAATACTTGAAAGTCTTTTTGATTTTTATACAATATATAATTGATAGTATAATTAAAAATATAATAAATAAATAAAAATATTAAACATCAAAACTCTTAAAAATCAAAACTTTTTTATATTTCTTTTTACCTTTTGAAAAAATTTTAATAAGACAAGTTTGGATTCTTGTCAAGCTACTTTTTTTTTTCTTTATTATTATTAAGAATAAAAACTTTTTTTTAAAAAAAATTAATTGATTGCTTCTTTTCTTTTTAATAAAGCTTCTAACAAGCTAAGCCAAGTTAATTTTAAAGCTTTTTTCAAATATTTTTTATATACTAAATTATACTTTAACCAAATTTTATAATATTATTTATATTATTTACTCTTCTTTAAGATTTGAAATTTTAGAAGAGTTTACTAATAAATGTATTTTTCAAGCTTTATAATAATCTTAAATTTACTATAAATAAATATCTTTGGTAGAGATAGATAAATAAGTTAATATTAAAAAAAACTCTTTTTGCTAATCCTTTTGTCAACCCAAAAAACAGACGTTCTCAAAAACTTTTTGTTTTTATGATAATAAAGTCTATATACACTTTCCTTAACAACACTGGTTCCTTAACCAACAAAGCGAGCAGAAGCTACCACTTGTTTTATTTTTTCTTTTCAAAACACTTTTCTTGTTTATTTTGGCGACTAAATA